CGTCCAGCGAAAGAGATGCTTCTGTTACAAAGTTTTGCGGAAACGTTGATCATAACCCTGTTGCCTGGATGGGTGGTTCCGATTTCTGTGCCGTGAAGGAAAGATCCGCATGTTGACCATTCAAGGTTATCCAATGGCCGGATAAATACATTCACCATTCGGGGAGCTGCAAAAGATTTATCAGCATGGCTTCGATCTTGGCATATGCCGAATGGAGGGCTCACGAGACTCAGCAAACGACCGAATAGAAGTAACCCCGAGCCGACTAAGGGCTACGACTGGCTCGCATGGATGAAAAACAACTGGGCGACTCAGGGCGTGGCCACATATATTAGTGCTGAACTGATCGACCAGCTGGAAGTCCGGAGCATGATCACAAGAGCTTTGGTCTTGATAAATAGCCAATGACCAGTCGGCATAGAAATTATACTCTACATCTGGTCTACCAGGGCCACACAATAAGATTATATAGCGTGCATTGGGTGAAAACTTAGTTTCATACCAACAATCCGGAGCTTCTGGCTCCAAAATTGGCTCGAAATGTTCCCGGGGTTTTGAGATGTATTGTGAATTGTCTATGACAAGTTCTGAGGATGGAAATATAAGCTCTTGAGCAGTAAACTCCTTTGACGGTCGATCAATTATGTCCGCAGGTAATCTGATCCGAATGAGATAGCTGAGAATGGCTACTTGGCGCAGGTCTTCGGAGAACGAGACTGGAAACGGGAAGCTACGGGGTTCCTTGGAACGAACCGCTCTCTTGAGAAGCGGGACGATTGATTCACTGGGAATCTCAAATGTACTTTTATGGACTTCTTTGTTTTCCAAAATCCGCTTCACGGTATAGTTGACATGCCAATCGGTAGCCAAGGACTCTAACGCTTGACAGACATTTGGCAACTGAGAATGCGGATCGCGCATGAGTTCATCAAATGCCCTAGCATATGTCAGATTCTGATTTGGGGGCGGAATTACGCGGCAAACCTAGAGGGCCAAATCTTGATCATCGCCACTTCGGACCCATCTACGGAACACTTAGAAGAGATAAGAAGTGCATCGCATCGAGGTACAGCGGGGTCCAAGGAACTCTCAGGCATAGCGCTCGATAAAGGTGTCACTTTTCCAGCCTTTGTTCCAATCCAAAACCTTGACTTCATGAATATGTGGATACTTGGCTGCCATATCTCAGTCGGATCGTCTCGGAGGAGATGCCCCCATGTTTTGTTAGGTTGCGACAGGTCGTTCGAGAATGACACTAGTAGATCACTCCAGCGTGAACCATTCAGATCGAATTCTATGTGAGCGCGATTAACCAAGCGACCAAGAGATGGTTCAACCTTGAAGGTCCAACTGGCTTCAGTCCAAACCGTGACCGAGATCTCATCTAGGAAAAACTGTGTAATCATAGATAGAAGGTCTGATTGTTGCTTTAGGGATTCTTTTGGGCTGTTTCCATTCTTTTCCAGACCAAGGTACCCATGGTGAGTCCAGAACTGAGTGGAGAACAACAGGAGAGGATATTTAGATATGAGATCAATCGTATTAAGACGATTCGGTGACAGACCATACAGTGGTCCTCTTGGGACGTCATGCACCAGATATGACAGGCAGTTCATTGCAATCGAGCAATGCGTCGATTCTGGACTAATTCGTAGTCGATCCTTTTCGGGTTGGTCGGACGTCAGAGAATCAGACAAAAATTCCGATACCGACAAATGTATAAAGCGCGCAGTTCTGTCTTGTCCAAATTCTACCAAAGCCCCTGATATCCTGCTGATTATTTTTTGGAAGGTGTTCAGATTTTTCGCGAGAAATCGAGAGCTTTTGGTGGGCTTGCCGATGGCTAATGACAACGCCGTACGTAGTTCTGACGCCGTTAGAGGGCGCCCGGCAAAAGCTACCCACTCGAACAACTTTTGAACTGTAGCCCACGGCCTCTTGTCTGGCGCACTTTGCCGGATCTTTTGGAATATCTGAAAGTACATTGAATCTAGATCTTCAAAAAGATTCAAGTGCGAGATGGCGTAGTGACGGTCTTCTGGACTGATGAAGTCGGAATTAAGATATCTGACCATAAGATTGGCCCATAGAAACATCGATTGGGATCTGCGAGCAATTTCTTTTACAATGTCTTCGGTACACTCTTCGTCGTCTAATTCATTCATCTTATCCATCTCTGCTACATGCGGTCCTAAGTAAGATTCGATATCAGTCAAGTTAGCAAATTCCTCTAGGTAAATTGGGCTAAATTCCGTATCTGTGAAGCCTTTTATTGTCACGTTTGGTCTTGCGGAAAAAAGTACCTTGCAATGTAGACCGTGAAGAATACGGCTCAATTCGCAGGAGAACTCCTCGCTACTAGAGCACTCGTCTACGCCATCGAACACCAAAGTCGAACCAGGGAACCTAAGAAGTAGTATGGCGCACAGGTCACGAACTTCAGCTGCAGATGCTGTGAGCTGACCGCTGCCATGATTGTCTTTCAGCAACAGAGCTAAATCTAAGGCTTCTCGGTCGTGTTGACTGGAGTGAAGTATCTGTGTCAAAATTGCGCGAAAAGCTGCGTCCGGTACAGTGGCGTGGATGTCTTGTTTATCAAAAAAATAGAATAAGATGGACTGTCCAGATCTCGAGAGGAGTCTTTGACGAAGATCTTCAATAATTGTTGCACAAAGAGTTGTCTTCCCATATCCTGGCTTGGCTGCTTCGAATTAGTCTTTGAAATTCTTTCCTTGTCAAATAGCTATTACCTTGGACGAAAAAAAGGTTGCCAGCTCTCTCGTGAGAAGGTGAAGAAAGCTCACTGCTGTCTCTATCCCTCCATGTTTTATAACTGGGATGGTCAAGCATCCAGGTCCCTGTACCTGGGGTGCGCTTGGACAACGACCTTTCATAAACAGGCTGCCACGGCGGCGCGTGAATCCATGCTTTGAGTTCGGTCGTCTTTCTCTCTATCTAGCCGTCAGCTGTTGTAGGACACCCTTTTTGTAGGACCATACGAATCACATCCTTGCCAAGCCCATCGGACCGGTGGTTGGCCGTTGCGATCTCCCTCTCGATTTTATCGTATTCGTCCAAAAGTATCTGCGTGGCTGCTGCATCAATCTCGAGTATGAGGAGTCTTTTGTGATACTGAAAACGATCTAGGCATTCCGCGAATTGAATATCGAAAGGTTTCCATGCTAGATTCATGAGAAGTTTAGCTCTTTGCCACCCTAAAAATAATTCTTAGAAAGGTCTGAGGTCTGTCATGGTATATTCGAGTGCTTTACCTTTCCCTTTGCTCGAGAACATGCGATACAGACGATGGCAGAGTCCAACAATATCACTATATAAATGTGACAGTGCATCCTGGAGTCTGTGAGTCGTTGGTCCATTCCCGCGGCGATTCAAGGTGGTCTGCACGTTGACGGTTCTGAACTCGATAGCTGCCAGCTCTTGTGCCATTCTTTGGAGTACGGTTTTCAGTTTCTCGACGAAGGTGCTATAGTTCTGACACAGCTGATTGAAAGGTCAGCCTGGTTCTCCAAAACGAAGGAAGCCTCCTACTTTAAAAACCATAAGAATAGATCCCCAAATGAGTCCAGCGATGTGAGGGTCTGACTGTACAAAGCTACTTATTGCTTCGAAGTACGGAGAGAGTGATGTGGAGAGATTTCGCACAGATTCACAGAATTCCAGAACGGGCCCTTGACGGCTATTGCTCGTCATCTTGTCGATTGTGTAAATCATTGCTTCGCAATTATGGAAATATTCGAACTGTTGCCGTTCTTCTTCGGTCATAGAATAATAAAACGACGATCTTACGTCGTAGAACAAATTCCCAGTACTAAAAATCTCAACATCACTAACATATCGAGGGTTAGGGTAGCCATGAATTTGGGTTGAAACAATGCATCCTTACTTGTCGCAAGTGCGAGCCTCGTCTTGAGATGAGACCATCGCGTGTAAAACCGCATCAGTCCAGGTATGAGTCTGGCACGATCGTAACCTCTCCCGCCTACGCCGCTTCCGGGGGTAACGCTAATGCAGAGGCGCGGTGACTGTCTCACGAGGAACGGACACGGAAGTGGGGTTCGCACCTCAAAGGGCGTGGAAGAGACATCCTTTAAGCTGTTGTGCAGAATGGCAAGGCTCCCATGAGGCTTTCCCGAGCCTCGTCCAACCGCCACCGACGGGTGTCAATCCAAATGTCCGCCGAGGTAAACCCGGCCCAAATCCCATCCGCCGATTCAGCTATTTTGAAGCTGCCAATAGCTTTCATCTTTTTAGTTTTTGGTGGTCCAGCTAGTAAAGAGTGCACGTTGGTAACTTCATAGAATAATGAGACGGAAGCGCTATCTAGGTACTGATTAGCTTCAAATCTAAGGTGCGGGCGCCAGTTGCGCCCGCGCACGTTTTGGTTGACACACCCTGGTGGCTGAATGGGGCGATGCTGGACCTTGCACGTCCGGGTTTGAACCCATTTTCACTAGGACGACCTAGTCAATCCCCATCCTAGTAGAGACCCTTAATTCCGTCCCATTCTCCATCCTATTACTAGGACGGAATGGGATCAGGATGGGAATCCCCGTCCTATTGTGATCACTACGTTTTTCTGTGTATTTTTCCCTATATATCTAATAAATTCTGTAAATTATATAAGTTTCGTGATTTTCGCTTTTATAAAGTCTGATTTTGGTTATGTGACTTGATCATGTAATTGATCTCATAAATACGGCAGCTTCAGTCGCAATACATATTAGTAAGCCAAGTCTCAAAAGGCATTAACTTTCTAATCAATACATGTTAGGTAATGTAGCTTATATTGAAGTGTAGCGCGAAAGCTAACTTAAATATTTACGATCCACATGCGAAAATTAAAGGTCTGTGAGATGAGATATTGGACTGCGAAGTCGCGCACTGTAGTAAATTTTGATGTTCTTCGCCAATTTTTTTATCTAACAGTCTCTGCAAAACAAGGTCATATTATAGATAAGAGTTTTTCCGCCAATCTCGACAGCTCGATGGCGCAGCGGAAGCGCGGTAAGTTTAAACATATCCCCTATCTTGAGTAAGATACTAATTTGTGCTGCAGCCGGGCTCATAACCCGGAGGTCGCTGGATCGAAACCAGCTCGAGCTAATTTTTTTTTGGGTCTAGACTAGGCCCGGAATGTAATCACTCTTTTCTTTTGAGAAGCTTCCATCGTGTATCTGAATGCGCGACATGAGAGGCCTATCCCTTGCGCTGGTGGGCTGCCGCGCACTGATCATGGAGCACTAAATTCGGGCAATTGGTAAACAACAACAAGCTACACCACGGTTTAACACACGAAGAACTTCATTAATTCTTGTCCAATATTATTAATTTGTGTATTATGTGAACCGCTCTGATGGGTCACAACCCACTACTTCCGTCTAAAACAAACACGCGCTCGTCCTTAGTCACCACCTGAATTTTAGCTCTATGCCTTGACACCTTTCTCAGAGAGTACATGCTAGGCTGCCTGCAGAGGTTAATACCTCCTTATCTCTTGACATATTCATCCTGTTCTTCACAAAGGGTACTCTTGAGCTACTCGCTGCCTATACAAAGAACTACACAAGCTAGGGAACTACGCTAGCTGCAGTGTAGCTGGTGCGAAGCGTAATAAACGCACACAATTAATAACCCTTATACAGGGGAAGCTGTTATAGGACTTACGGCCGAACTCGATTAAATAAGGTCTCGTCTAAAAGAGAACTCCGTAGAGCTCCATGGAGTGTTCTCTCTGGGAGCTGCCTCTCTGCGAAGCCGAGCAGTATTGGCAGAAACACCTTCATGCAGCTGCAGATAGGCAGGAAACACCTTTATACAGCTAAAAATTCTCACATTTCAAGGCGGAATTTTCAGAGACCCGAAGTCTGATAAAAATGAGCTGTTGTTATACCGAGTGACGTTTTGAGACACGTCAGCGAAGCAGACGTTGCGTAATCCTGACCTGCAGAACCCATGCAAGGTCTGTTAAGTTACTGACCCGGCTTCAAGATTACCTAAATATCCCCTAGAAGTAGCATAATAACCAATATGGTTTGACAAAGGTTGGATCGCATGCCCCATTAATATAGCAGAGGTTCTTTAGGTGATAATATCTCTTGTAACAATACTCTTAAATTTTGCAGTCAATAAGTATATATTAGAATCACCATTTTGAGATAAGAAAAGAATCGCAAAAGCATTGACAAAAGATTACGTTTACATGGCAGTAACCTCGTCACTTTCCGCTGTCTGGTCTCTGCGTATAGCTTCGTCTCTGCTTATTAGAGCGCTACTAGACGCTAATATTTGCATCCACGTAATGTAGTAATATGCCATCCTGACATGGTGAGGAAACAAACTCACAGCAGAAGTATATACACGCACATTGTTGCGAGTAGTGCGACAATCATAGATACTCTGCCTCGAACTTCACCGTTACTTGTCTTCGTCGATGCAGCTCCCGTCCCCTTCAAGCCGAGAGGAGCCATTGATGGTGACGAGACAGATAAGGAAGTCGTGCTGGGGACAGAGGAGAAGCTGACCGGTTGTGTCGTGGCACCGTTAGCAATCATTAAGCCTGAAGGACCAGCCCACATAGTTTCGCCATCTATAGTGAGCGAAGCACCCCCCAATGTGAGCGTTCGCGATCCAACTATCACATTTGGAGACCCTTGGGAATCAAGCTCTTTGAATGCGGTTAAAGTGCTTGACCCGAGTGCGAGTATTGCTTCGGAGGAAGACGCCGCTCCAGAAACCGGATGAAAAGGTATAGTTCGCGCATTGTTTTGGTCGACAATGACCAACCCTGAGGGACCCAAGGATATTGTTTCTCCATCGACGACTATTGGAGCACCGTTCAGCGTTAACGTCGATAAGCCTAAAATAGCAACTCTACCTCTATCGGATAAAGCGGGCTCCTCAGATACTGTGATTAAGCTTGAACCAATGGAGACGACCGCTTCCTGGTAGCCGGGAACGCTCTGAACTGGGGAGAATTGTGCCGTTCGTATACTGTTCCCATCAATCATAACAACTCCCTGGGAAGCGGCACTGATGACTTCGCCTCCAATCGTGACCGGGCGTCCTCCTACAGTCAGCGTGGAGCCACCAATCTCTACAATGGCGTCGGCCGCGCCTGCGTAGGATGCGCGGATTGCCGTAAGTATAGCCGATCCCAATGTGACTATCGCTTCACTGGTGTCACCGATCGCAGGTCCTGACGCGATTGTCGCCATTCCGATGGTCGCAATCTGTGGAGATCCTGAAGCGACCACGATTGGCAAAGACTCTCCGGTGCTGGTTGGGTCTAATGCCGAAATTATGTTTCCGGGAAGAATATTCGAGCCCGAACCAATATTGGAGAATACGTGAGTTGCATGGTGTCCGCTTGAACCTTCTACAGCAAGACCGCTTGGTGCCACACTCATGGTTTGGCCATCGATCACAGCTGCGGGGCCATTGAGCATGAGTGTTGTGCCTTGGATTGCCACAGCGCCTGCTTGATTCTGTGCTGCTGTCACAGCTTTGCCACCGATGTTTAGAACCACTCCCTTGCTTGCACTAGGCGCATTGACTGCATGCGTTTGCCCGTCAATGACGACGCCAGCTGAGCCCAAAAATTTGACGATTTGCGAGGAAATGGTCGCTGCTGATCCCGGCACAAGCGTTGAAGAGCCAAAGACCAAGTTACCATCACTATCTGTGCCATACAACTTGGATCCCACGCTGATAGCTGGATCTGACCCCTGTGCTGGATCAACATACGTACTGGCTTTTGTCTTCTGCTGAGGGTCGCTTGGAGGGTCTGAAAAGTGTGCAGGTGCAGCCCCGTTAGAGTCGGCTAAGGAAGCACCGGCGGTCTTCCAGGTTTTGCTTTGCTGTAGAGCATCTCCTGGATCTGAATCGGCTTGTGATGAAACGTGGTTGGAAGGCGTTGGACCGGATCGGAGAAATGACATGATCTCGCTGTCTGGGTTTCCAGGATTTGAAGCATCCTGCGAGGTGGAAGGATCTTCGGACGGTACCGGTCTTCCGGAAGGATTTAATGGAGCTGTACGTGACGATGGGTTTGTAGAATCGTCATCTGAAATGGGAGCTGTATTCGATATGTGGCTCCGGTCTTGAGAAGGATCCGGCGAATTAGATGAATGTGGGCCGTCGGACGGGGCTGGGTCACTGTGAGTATATGGGTCGCTGGATGAAGTTGGGTCGTTGGAACCGGACGGATCCGCTGTCTGACTGGGTCTAGGCGGTGGAGGCTGGCTTCCAGGAGTCGGCGAATGAGACGATTTTGGAGGATCGCGCGTTGCAGTTGGAAGGGTAGTGGGCTCAGGCAGATCAGCACTCGCGTACTGCGTAAGAGCGATAGGAGGGTCTGGAAGGGCCGTGATATCTAGATAACATGTTGCCCATCTAGGATCGATGTCGATTAGTTGACTTGGATAAGACTGTTCTCATCAGTGACCTAAAAGGTCGCAGTTGCTGACGTGAACGTACCAACTGCGGAACATAATTGATGTCAGTGATAGTCTCACATTCTGGGTATGGGTCAGTTGCGCAGACTTGTTGTCCAAACCACGCATCAGCCTATAATAGGGGTTATTAGCATGATCTTTTTGGTTGAGCATGGTAGTTACGTACAGGGACATGGTTGGGCCAGAGATCAGCAAAATTCATTGAGTAGGGGTGAAGCGATACAACTTCAGTGTGCCCAACCCATTCGCCACGGAGACTTGGTAATACTTAGTTAAGATACCGCGCTCTAAGGGTGATATTACCTCGAGACCTGCGACGAAGGCAATGCAAGAATTCCAGCAGGGACTGTCGGTCCGCAGAGACCACCTTGGCCATTATCACCACGTACTGAGTACGCAGGGTAGGATATATATGCCGTACCGGCGGTGAAAACTGTTCCGAGGGTTGTGACTTTTGACATGACATTGCCAGTAGCTGTAACGGTGGAATCTTTGTCTCTGAGTCAGCCTTCTAACTGGTCATAGCGGAAGATAATCTTAAAGTTGCCACAAAAGTCCCCTGTCATCGACACGGCAAAGTAGATCAAACGAATAGGACCAATCCCAAGGTAACACAGGTCACAGTTGTCGGTGCCGGTGTAGGTAGTACTTACCGGCGTCGTTATACAAGGAGGTGCCCAGACAGTTGCAGGCTTCGGTCCCTTCGAATGATCCCAAATACTCCACAAACCTGTGCATGCCTCCTGATCTATGGTGCAGTTTGGCATTGGGGGTGATGGGTATAATGAATAGCATTGCGAACTTATTTCCAAAAACGTTGTACCGTCCCAAGTCGAAGTAGTTGTATAATTGGCAATGCCAGTGGCACTTATAAAATCGAAGTAGGTAGCACTCTGGGTGGTTGTAAACGAAGCACCAGACACTGTCGATAATATGGTTTCTCTCGTAAAATATGGCGTTTGCGACTGCGAAACGCTTGCGCGAGGCCATCCATCACATAAATGGTAGGTATCGTAAACAGTCGTAGGATATGCTGTAGTATCTTTGTCGGTAACAATATCCGAGGTTGTCGCATTACAGGTTGATGCGTAAAGTGAAACGGTATACTGACTGTGTTTACTCCAGCACTAGAGGGCGTTTTCGAGATAAGTGCCATTTCGGGCGGAATTGGTATCACTAGACATCGTCAATGTTTCCATTGCGTGAACTGTTGAGGTTCGTTCCAACGATGTGTAGTATGAGTTATTTTTCCCAGTAAGTAAAAGTTCGCTAGCCTTGACTGGTAGAACACTAGACGTGGATTTCACAAGAGAACTTCCTTGGAGATTAACATCATGTCCGTGAGTCATGCCAGAGGTAACCGCAGAGACTGCTTGACTGGAGCTCGCTGAAGCTTTTGCCCTAGGGGTAGAAACGTTGGAGAAAGACTTCATTTCAGATGGATTGTAGACTGTCGAGGGAGATTCTGTGGGAGATGGACTGGAAGGTTGGATACCTTGATTGATGTAGGATCCTAGATTTTCTAGCCGTGTCGTTGAACCAGTGCCGCTAGTGACACTTAGCTTGTTGGCGTGGTCAGATTCATGAGATGACGACGCAATCTGTTGTACGTGAGACCATGGCACAAGGCCTTGTGCAATATGCTGTCCG